ATCTAAAGTAATTAAATCTATAAATCTCATAAAACGTTCTAATTCCCTTCCGGATCAGCTGCATTCCTCCGTGATCCTTTTAGCGGTATCACGTACAACCCCTGCGTCTATAAGCTTTTGCCAGCTTTTTGCGTCCTGTTCCTGCCAGCGTTCTGCTTCGGACCTGCAAAGCGACAGCCTGCAAAGTTTCATCATCTCCGAACGACCCAGAAGGAATTCCGAGTATGAATCGTACTGGGCTTGCTCGAGACCCTTGATGTTCACGCTGATGCGTCCTAGTTCCGGCCAAATAATGTGTTCTCCGCTCCTTTCCTTTCGGGACATGAGGACATCGACTGGCCTTCCTTCCGTCTTGGTCAGAACCGTGAATACCCCAAGGACGATTACACGAGGCGTCATTTTTGCGAGACATTCCAAGTCGGGCCTGGTAATACGGCAATCCGTCATTGACATGCTCCTGAGAACGGGGAACCTGAGGTCGTAATTTTTGCCGAATAGGTTGTTCCCCCTACGCTCAACGGCTTGCCGGATGTTCCATTTATAGCGAAGACCTAGGGAGTCGAAGTATATTCCTTGTAGACAGGGTGCGCGATGAATAAAACCCCACATCTCTTGCGCCACAAGAGGTTCACTGCAATGAAGGTGTTCAAGATTCGTAACGACCCTCCGCGCGATGTCAGTACTGGCTGGCTCGTCGAACATAACTCCTCCTTCTGTGAGAGCACGGATGGTAAGGTTCGTCAAGGTAGGAGACGAGATTATGTCGAGGAATGTAGACCAGGGTAAGCAGGCCGAGTCGGCAGAGGACCACTGGTCTATGTCTAGGTGAGTAATCGTTGTGGGTGGCGCCCAGGTCTTGAATGCCCTGAAATCCATACGGAGGGTTGCCAGATTGGGCGCGTTAAGCTTGAATCCGGGAACAGGGAAATGCGGAATCGCATCTGGGTGGCTGTGAGCCATCGCGAACGCTTCCAAGTTCGGTGCGAAGTCGGGCTGGGCGATCCTCTCGGATACTCCAGCGCCACTTGGGTTCAGCTGCAAAGCCACACGTCGCCAATAGCTCATGTGCTGGGTGAAAGCATCATACAGAAGATCTGACATATCAGGCTCCGGTGTGTTGACCCAGAAGTCGATGGGTTGCCCGCGCGAACGATCGAGGTGCAACTGGAGTCGCTGAAGAATCATACCCTGGCAGAGGTTTCCCATAGGACCTTTGTCCGAGTACGCGAATATCGTCCAAAGTGGCGTGTAGTCGAGAGCGATGCCTCTCCACTTTTTACATACTTGAGAGATGGCGATGGCCTCGTTGCCTGGCAGAGGTTCTCCTCCCGTGAAAAAAGGTGAAGGCCCGACGGCCATCTCGAAGATGGCGCAGGTTACTTCGATGGGCAACGACAACGCTGGTGTGGCACTCCTGTAGCTCTCTGCTTGTAAATCCGTATTTGAGTCGACTGCCTGCAGTCTCCTCTGGCGAAGGTTCGAGACTCGGGGGCATCTGCGGAGACGTGGTGCTCGGGGCATGCTGGTGGAATCCTACTTGGACGTGAAGGTGCGCGTTGTTGAGTTGAGGCGCTACTTTATGAGACACGTCAGTAAAGAACAAATACAGTTAATGTGGAACTGTGCTCACCTGCAATAAATTTCTTATCCTTCCCTCCAACGTCGCCAACCACGGTGGGTTCCCTCTCGATTCGAGTCTTAGGAATTGTGTGGTCGCGAGGTCATAGAGTGGCGGAGTGCTGGGTATATCTAGGTGACTCTACGGCGCGCCTCCTTCCTGAGGAATCGGCCTGGCGTGGGTTGGAGGTAAAGTACTGAAGGAAGAGAGAGTAGCCACGATTGACGCCACGATCATCATTATCATCCTCCCGGCCGGCCCGGGGCCTCTGATGTTGATCAAGGCCACGGATCAGGATCGACGATCAACGAGCGGATCAATCTTACCTGCTCTCTGAATGTTTGAACATTTATCGAACGCTAAGGTGGATGGGACATTGAACGGCGTTCCGGCACAATCTCCACCTCTTTTCCGGTGTCTCCATGTGCAAACAAGGCTGAACAGGAAGTACGCACTCATCCAGATTCCAGAATACCCTGCCAACGGCAGATATGAGAATTGCCTTCAGGTTTCTACCTTTTTTTTATATAAATAAAAGCTAGGAGCAAAAGCTAGAGCCCTCTGTTTACAATAATTAGTTTAAACTTGCTTCTTGCTATTGTTTATACCTTTTTTTTGGAAGCAACTTTATATTTAAAATAATTTCTAGTTTTAAGCCATCATATATATTCGGTGTCCATCACCTCACTTGGACGTTCTCTTACCACATCGGCAGCAATATTTGTACTACAGGAGCGGTCCTTCAACCTCGATTTAAGAGTGCTACACCGCGATGTCATTTAATCGATATCCTTAGAAATCAAAGGTGAGAAAAGTAATTATTATGATAATGCACCTAGAGTTGAATATCCGTTTCATCCAACACTGAACCAGTCATCCGTCAATACCATGGACGACGACTACCGCTTCTATCTTTCATCTCTTTCGTTCCAAACCCTCTCTTGCTCCTCTTGTCTTGCTCTCTTGCTCTCTTGCTCTCTTACTCTCTCGCCCTAGCTTCTCCCACTTGGCGCTCTCACGAAGCACATATACGCGCGACCCTCAGGTTTACGAACGCTCTATCCTAGTTCGTCCAGCTACCCACACTCATTCTTATTTTCGGCGAGGGATCGAGCTGGGTAACCGAGGACGGATTCAGGTCGTGCTTAGGGAACGTATTCACTGAAGGAAATTGTCTTTACTCGTATAACGAGCAACACACCGGCCCTTCCCTCGAGGAGCATAACACCCGCCTGTTTACAAAGGTCGTGTTCCTCGCGCGCCGTACAAGCCACACCCGACAACGAACTACCGAATCCACTTCCGGGATCGACCAACACGACAAGGCGTACATATTCCGCGTCTCTGGCTTTACTCACTTTCCCCTATGCGCTCTAGACGCATTCTTGAATGCTGTACAACCTGCAGCCATTACTTTGCCCAGGAATAGGACGAAGCTTCCGGTTCCTTATCTTTCAACTCTTCGTTTTGCTCTCCCCGCCGTTCGGGTTACCTCGGTCTCCGCAAGGTACGCTGCTCTTCAGGGGTGACTGCTCTGCTCAGTGCTTCCTCTCCCGAAGAAGACTTACGTATTACATTCTCGAATTCTCACCCCCCGAGCTCTCTCGCGCTCCTGAAGCCACAATTCTCTTTTCCTATTCGATTTTACGACGAGAGACGTGGTGCTCATTCTTATATCAATGTGCGAAGCGTGGAATAAGGATCACCTTCAGAAATTAGTTGTATCTCCTAATATGTAACGGCAATTTCTTGTACCACCAATTAATAACCGTCGAATCACCCTCAGGCCTCATCCGTCATGACTATCTTGACTGTTTCCGAAACTCCAATTTCTATTCCCTCCCAGCTACTCATGGCTGACCTTCGTGCCCGACCAGAGGCTCTGAAACAAGACTCTCGTCCTCCTCTGTTCAGCGCTCCCCATGCACAGTCATCCAAGGTGACGCTCTCATATTTGCGTGATTCTACTCGTCTGTTCACCGGTATGGCCAGAGAATATTTCTCCCTTTTCCTCATGTAAGCTTCGTGTTCGTGCCGCATTTCGAATTCTCGTCGATTTATCTGTCTCTATGGTCTCACAAATCAAATTGACCTGTTTTTCGTCCCCTTCTCCCCATCCTGCGTATGTTGTTGTTCTCGCTTCTTCCTCGGTGGACCATAGTGCTCAGCACTGGCTCTTTTGCCCTGGATACCGAAAGAGAAACCACGATGGATTTTATCAAATGAACTATCCAACTCCACTACTCGCACATGTTGGCCCCCGTTCTCTTTCCTCGATCATTTCAGCCTCTTGACTCATCGGCGCCCTCTGAGCGGCCATAAAGAATTTTGGAACTATCACCATTCTCTCATCTCGGACCCACGGCAATCATATAAGTGGTCCGAGTCCTTCGGCAACTCTTCCTGAGCTACAGATTGCCTCCTGCCGATTTCCTTCCCTGTCGGTCCATACTACCTTCATCCCTCCCAGCTTTTCGAGGTAGCTAAAGTTCTTCAAGTCCAAGCACGAGGTAAGATCGAGAATCTGCACGGGACGGTTATCTTCCACCCGTTGCCGAAAGAATTCCTCGCCTACTTCAAGTCCATGATCGACGAGTCCGACATGCCCGTTCTCCCAGACGACAGAAGTTACGCTCAGGTACAGTGTCTGCAGCTTGGGAAATACGGGTGGTGCCCCGGCGCCTCGTGGAAGCCGTGTGAGTTGAGTGATGACATCCATTGTGGTGGAGAGCGACCGAACCTCGGGCAAAGCAAACACGAAATTAAGCATGAGATTCCGAAGGCTTGAAATTGTCCCGGGGGGCACCATGCCCGGAGCGAAATCGATATACATACAGAGCGTCGTGATGTGGCGGAAGTTGCAGAGAAAGAAGGCGTTATGGTCGATGTCGAGACTGGCCGCAAATACCGGGTCAGGAAAGCGTGAGCGATTCTGTTCAAACTGCTCCATTAGCAAAGTACCCCAGATAGTCTCCAGAGTGAGGTTTGTGTATTTGGTGTTTGCTGAGAACCAACGTTGGCTGTATTTCGACAACACCTCGCTGATCAGGAGGCTTCGGGATGGAAATTCAACTGTGCTGGATCTTTCAAATGTGTTGATACCCAATCTGCACTCTGGCAGCGCCTCGATATGGTTCAAAAACAACGCGGCAGAGTAAACGTCGTGCGAGACTTGGAGTTCCGTAAGATTGGGTAGTTGAACGACTGGGAGTGGCATCGGGTCTTCGAGGACGGGATCGAATACACTGCATAGGCTGAGAGTTTGAAGTTGGGGCATACCGCAGAGCCTTTCCAACCACGCCAAAAGCGTTGGGCGAGGCGCTGAAGTCGAGTTGGAGACGGTGAGGTGACAGAGCTGGCTGAACCACGACGAGTAAAAGTAGAGATTTGCTGAGAGGTACATGGGGAAGTGTACTTCGCGCAGCTCGGGCGCATCGTTACCAAATAATGTTTGGCTCAACCCTGAGTGAATCGGTTGGTCTAGGGCACCGAGATTGATGCGAATGATTTTCAACGCTTTCGACGGCCGCGCTATCGGATACCAGAGATCTCCCTGGTTACTCTTCTCAAAATAAATATGCGACAACATCGAGCGTGTCGATCCGCTCCCAATGGGCATCAAGGATGTGGGCGAGCAAAGGCAAAAAGGCGGGATTCTTGTTTGCCTGCTTGCCTTTGACGTGCAAAGGGGATATTCCTGTGCGGCATATGATCTCCCATCTCCACTCCTCCTTCAGGTGGATGAGGTATTCAAGGTCGACGAGCCTTCCCCACAACGATGTTGATGAAAGTATCGCTTGCCGCCAGAGGCGCCAGACGTGGGATGCGCTGCGAGTGTCCGTCAGTGCTCGTGGTCCCCAATCCTGGATAGCTTTGTCAAAATCGCAAGGATCTTCGTCCATGTTCGCGTTAAACATGAAAATCTTCAGTAGCAGATCTTCGTTCAGGCGGTAGATCGGAGGCGATCTTCCTTCGATCGCGTTAGAGGCTGCCTCCATCGCTGACAGGCTAACAGCTGGTTGCCGTAGCAGATGTGAACTTTCTTTCATACTGAAAGGGGAGCATACGCAGCGTCAGCTGTTATTAGCTCGAAGTTGGTCTTGAGCTTGAATGCATGTACCTTGGTGGAAGTCGAACGAAAACGAGGTCTTCGGCAATCCATGTGGCCGCTATCTTATCTTATCGTTCGCTGTTTTCCGTGACAGCGAAGCCCATCGTTCTTTCCGTCCTCTCCCACCATCAACGCGCCTTTTTTGGCGACTTCTCTGAGCACAGAGAAAGTCTCCACCCTCCCTTACACTGCCACGCGCCATGGCTACATGCGACGACGCGTCCCCTTCCTCACAACACGACACGACACGTCCCCGCCCTGGCCGCATCACCTCCTACTTCACCCCCTCAGCTCCCTTGACGCGTCACGACACTGAAGAGTTCTCCGATGGCACAACGCTAGCCGCTTCCTCATCTCAATCCTCTGCTCCAGGCACCGCGTGTTTCAGCCCGTCGCCCACCCCAACCTCTGATGACGTGCCACCACAGAAAAAGTTCAAGATCACAGCGTCGAATGGGTGGCAGGTGAAGTTGAAGGATGTATCCAGGAAGAGAATGAAGAGGGAGCCGACGTTGGAGAGTGATGACTTCGCCTCGGGCAACGAGACTGACTCGCGTTTCTACGCGCTGGGGTCGCTGAAAAGGCAGGGTTCACGCGCCAAGTTGGCGATGCTGCCTTCGCTGCCGCTAGATATCCTATTTGAGGTGAGTTTTTCGTCCTTCATCTCTCAAAAACGCGTCCATTGACGCATTCCTCTCGCCCAAATAGATCTTCGGGTGTCTTCGGCCTCTAGACCTGCTCCACCTCGCTCGAACCACGAAGAGCATTCGCGCCTTGCTCCTGCACCGATCTGCAACTTCGGTTTGGAAACGGGCATTTAGTGGCGATTCGTCCCTACCGCCCTGCCCAGACGACGTGTCGCTGCCTTCCTGGGCAAGTTTGGCATTTGACAAGTTCTGCCAGGTGCGTATATGCGCTCATCCTCGTCCTCCTTCGGTGTCTCATACACTACCTCCTCATAGAACTGTTTGGCACCACAAATCCGGAACGTCGACTTTATCCTGCGGGTTCGGTATTGTAGTCGATGTGCCAAAACCAAGTACGTCTGTGTCTTCACATTTCGGCTCGTCTGGAAATGACCGTCGCATTTGCAGACTTTTCTCCTCGCAGCTCTTGAAGAAGGACAAGAAACTCCATGTCATAATCCTCCAAGCGGTGCCCTTTAGCTATTGGAGTGGTCGTAAGTCGAAGTTCCATTCCTTTCGTTTCCAATACTGTCTCTGAATATCGTCATAGGCAACTATAAATCATGCACCGTAGACGATAAAGAATCTTTCGTCGAGCTTTTGGATTCTCATCAGGGTGATCGTTCAGCATTCGTAGAGGAGCGCAAAGCTTGGGTCAAGAAGCGTACTGAGGTGTGTAACGTTGATATTTCATCCTCTTCGAGTTCTTTGTGCTAACCGCCTCCATTTCTGCCACTTTCAGCACGGAAAACTATGGAAGAAGTGGCTGGAAGATATTCTCGAAGACCGCGAAGCGGAGATCGACGAGCTAAGGAATGGTCGGAACCAAAAGTATGCGTCCATTTTCTTTCTAAAAATTTTGCCTCTTTTCTAACCTTTCAAACCTTCTAGGATTCGCCAGCTCGTCAGAGAATTGGGTTTCTCCGAAGAGCTTACGTTCCTCGATAGGCTGGGCTGCGACTCGTGTGCCATTCAACCCTTCCCGACTCTCGTGGCCTTCAACGACCATACGGACGTCAAAGCGCCCAAGGCTCTTACCGACAAGAGTACGTCGAAGCTCATCTCTCATCTCCTTTACTCCACTTACAGCATGATAACTAGTGTGGTCCAACATGAAAGACGACATGATCGACTACATGGAGATGGCGCGGCGTCTCCGGCTGCAAGAAGCCCGCGTCCTGCTCGAGCGCAGACGCCGACTGGCGATCTACACCGCCTATGTCGTGTACCGCCGCCAGCCCGAGACCATGCTCAAGTACCCCTCGAGCACGTTCCTCCCTGGGCCCGTCGACTTCATCGAGTGGTACCGATGCCAGCGGCTCATCAAGCGAACGAACGACAACCCGCTCTCCGAAGAGGATCTCGACGACATCTTCAAAGGTTTCGACGGCTTCGTCAGCTCCTGGCGGAAGGACAAAATCCACGAGCTGTGGTACACCACCCTCGACCTCGACGCCTCCCTGCCCCTCCGCTCGCCTCTCCGCTGGTCGCCCACCACCAATCCGACACCCCCGCCCAGCTCCGGACCCTCAACCTCGCAGCTGTCGTATTTCGGTGCACCGCGTCAGTGCACTGGCGGTACCATGACCGGTGGCAGGTCGACGAGGGCGTCCTCGCCGCGGGCACGGCTTACACTGATGCACCGCCGATGCGCGAGCCCATCCTGTGGTTCCACGAGCTCGCGCACCATCCCTGTACGAGGATGGTCTACCGGACCTACTCCGAGTCACGGGCGAGCGAGAATGAGTTCATGAACGTGGAGAAAGTGTATTGGAGCTGTCGGCGGGATAAGTGGTGTTTGAAGGATCGAGTAGAGGTGGATGAGAAGGCGGGGCGGGTGGTAAGGAGGGTGCTGGAGGCCGCTGGAAGGGATTGGGAGATGGAGAGTGCCGCGGCGATGGATGAGAGGGATGATAGGTTCGTTTGTCTGAAGTGCAGTTTTGGAGGAAGGTGTGACGGGCAGAGGAGGGTGAGGGTGTTCACGTGGCGCGATGCGGTATGTTTTGCTTTCCCTTTTTTCCTGTCTTCCTTTCTGATGTTTGCCCATCTCCCATCTCTCTTTTCGTCGGTCGATAGGTACACCACACCTTGAAAGCCCACTTCGGCGACTCTCGCGTCACCTGGGAACGCGTTTCCCCCTCCGACGCCGCCAAGGCTCGCGAGCTGGAGGCGGTAGAAGCTACGAAACGCGGGTACCTCACACCAGACAAGCGGAAGTTGTGGAAGTGCATTCGGTGCAGAGATACGACGCATGACAGGGGAAGGATGACTTGGGAGGAGCTGAAGACACATTTTACGCATAATCCGTATGTTTCCTTTCCTTTCCTTTCGTTCTTAGTTTATTTTTTATGCCTGTCATGCTGATTGTTCTTTTCTCTTATTTTTCTGCAGGAAACATGGCAACCCCGACGAAATGGAGGGCAAAGATGAGGTTACCTACTACTCTGCCCTCGATTACTCGGAGAGAGAACGGCCGCCGGTGAAGATGGTTCCTGCGAAAGTGGAGAGCTGATAAAACTGGCGCAAGCTTGTCCTCAACTAAAAATGTAACGATAATTATATCCCATCTTTCGACGAAATATACTTTAGATACTCGTTTTGTACGTACCTTCCTCGACGTTATTTCCAGAATGCAAGCAATGGTATTTGGTTGGTAGACTCGGAAGAGGAATGTGAGGTCGACCAAGTTCTTAGTCGTTCAAGAACGCCATGGAAAATCAAAATTTGGCTCAATGCGATAATGACGAAAAGGGAGCTTCAGGTGGCTCCACGTCGATTTCTTTCGCTCTTGAGACGACGGGGTTCCAGCGTAGAAATGGCATTTCTACGTGAATGCTCTACGGAATTGTACACTTTGAGTAGAGATTGTCATCAAAGAAATATTTTTACTTAAAGGCGTGAATAACATGGAAAAGAGGCCTTTGTTCAAAGTATAGAGGGAGATCCGTCTACTTTAACTGGAGAATCTCGTAGAAATGTGATTTTTACGAGATTCTCCACTCATAATGGGCACAATTGTGGATGAGATCTGGTCATTTCACATGGAAGTAAATCTTACCTGGTCATCTCCATGCTTTGTGCGCACACGCGTCGAAAATCCTAGTATAAAGGGGGTTTTCTTTGTTTCGCCCCTTTATACTTTAAATGTAGAGGCATTTTTGATGGGTCAGGCCATTCTAAATGAGGGAGCTTCTGGGGGAAAGTTCTCTATTTAAATTGTCTTTGTGGTGGTGGTCGAGTTCAAAGGGAGATCATCGTGTTGCATCTGGTTATAGTCGAAGTATAACTCTTCATACAAAGGGCTTTTCGACACGAATCACCATTTTGAACAGAAAGACCTTTTAAATGTGGTTTAACACTCTGAATAGAAAGTTATTTTGCATGTCTGCCTCCACCCAAAATCAGCATTTTGCTGTGGCATTTTCGTATAAAGGTCATTTATGCTTTGGAACCCCCGCCGTGTGAACACACTCCTCGTTGGAGGCAGCTGAGGAAGGAGATCCTTCAGCCCCTGATGAAGCGCGGGCCGGACACACCGGTGACCTCGGCACAGCCACATTGGTTCAACTCGACTTCTCTTTTCCCCAACGTCCATCTCGTTCGTCCTCGAACAATGAGCGACGCGGCACTCACCTTTCACTCCAAACCGTAGCACCTCTCTCAAACGTAACGTACCCGGGCTTTTACACACCATTCATCGTTCCAGATACTGCTCAAGATCTCGCCAATCTCTTCACTCGTCAGACAGCTCTCATATCGACCATCCTCTATGGGCAGTCTCCATCGTCGATTTTCGCCCTAGATATCTGCGCAGCCTCAAGCTATGGGTCTACTCAGATCTCCAACAGACGTCGTTCCGAGGTCGTCTTGAAGCTTTTGCTCGCTCTGAGAAGCACAGTAAGGATTCCATGCAACACCGTCCGGCTTCTACTCATACACCATACAAGTCTTTTCTAGCGGCGTATATCGCAGAGAGACGCTCTTGTGTCGGACAAAGACTCTATGTCTGGCTTTCTTCCGGGCTGTAGGAGTGGTGAAGGGTATGTCGGGAAGATTCTGTGCTCAAGTTCGATCTTAGGGATGGGGTGTGTTCTTTTCTCGTTCGGTGGACACAGCTAACTTGTTGTCATCAGCGTTCTATATACGTTTTTACTCTCGCGGTGGATGGAAAAGAAGCGGTCCGCATGACATAGGACACGGCATATACGTAGGTCGCATACAGTCTCCTCGGCGGCACAACCTAATCTTCATCCAGCTCGGCATCCGTCGTCTAGTATCTTTGCCTTTGCCTCCACTTCCGCTCCATCTGAAGGATGTGCCGCTGCGCAAGTCCGCAAGATCATTGACTCCCAGTTTTGGGGATGACGCCGCCTGCTCCACTACCAATGCTCTCACAGGTAGACTCCACCTCGCGGCTCGACAACCAGAACACCGGGGAATGACGCGTGGGGTCGTCCAAACTTCCGTTGGAGATTGAGTTTGCAGAAGACGGCGAAGGCTTGGACACAGGTGTCAGGTTGGTATCGCCCCGGCCAGTGAGTCTGCTTTTTTACTTAAAGATCTGTTGAACCCAAACGTCCGCTTTTCCAGCGTATCTCCGATGTTAGGCTTGCCAAGGTCTCGTATGTCCTGGCGGAAACAACATATATTGAAGATATCAAACCCCCGGCGTGGTGAAGACCAGACTCGATGTTGGGGCCAATAAATTACGAGTCGAAGAACGTCACTCGCTTGAATAACGTGTAAGTCGATTCATTCTCTTTTCTTGATCGATGCCCTGATATTCTCTTTTCGGCCGGCCGTAGCCACCTGGGCGGCTCGACGGCGGGTATCTTTCGATTTGCACTGCAGCTCAAGGAGATGGGGCCCAGGCATGCTAGATCGTGCGTTGGTGTCCGGCCCGATGGAAGACGGACGAATTGTTGGACACTTTCCTGTGCTCACAGCTGTTCGTGTCAAGAGCAGTAAGTGCTATCCTATTTCTATTCTTATAGCTCCATTCCGTCTTTTCAAAACTTTTAGCTGCCAATACGACTTCCTGTTGCTTACAGACTGGCTAGGCACGTATGAGTTTGTTTGTTCGTCGAGCCATGTCATTTTTCATGGACGGTAGTCTAGGAAAGGTACAGACTAGACTCTGTTCGCCTTTCTATGCCATCGTCTCGATTCAATAATATGATCTAGTGTCTCAGGTCTGTCGTTGCGGCCCTTCGGAGTCGGTGGCTGCACCTAGATACGCCATGCCGTGGTCTTTCAGCGCCTTTTCCTTTGACGGTCTCGTCTGAGAATGACTTATACCAGGTCCACACCTTTCTCTGCGTTGTCTGTGCGTAGCCTTACATAATCTTGGCTTTGTTCCTGCAAGAAAAAGTCGTGCTAATTCGTTTCGTTCAGTGTGGCCTCCGTTGGCAAAGACGCCGCTTTCTGGTATGATATGTGCCTGGCTCTTCTGTAAATGAAGCCTCAACCTATGAGGAAAAAAGCAGCGGCCGATATTTTTGCCATTTCTTTCAAGTCAAGAGTGCGTCTCCGTCTTTTTTCATCTATTCCGTGTCTCTCCAAATTTCTTTCTCTTCCTTTCTATCCGCTTCGTCGCGTTCGTTGCATTTTGGGCATCTTTCTCGGAGACGACTTAGATCAATCTTCGTCGCCACTCATACTTTTACCGATGAGTATTCGGCGGTGGAAGCCCACCATATCGGTTTGGATTGAACCAGCGTCTGGTAGCAAGCCATGTACATCACCGCTGTGAGCAATCATGGCTATGGCCCGCCGTATTCAAGTCAAGTCTTGCGATGTTCCCATTCATTTTCACCTCGGATGTGTCCTGACTCGAGCAGAGTCCACCGGCGTTGAATAGTTCGCGGATTTCCAAAGCCCATCTCCCGCATATGCACTCGCTCTTGGCTGATTGGTCGTCGGGCTGCCGCACAGGCCGATTCGAGGCAAATATACCCCTGGAATAGCAGAGGATTGGCGACAATCTCTGTATACTCTGCCTTGTGCCCCCGAGGAACCTCATTCTCCCTTCCAATTTATTCGAAGCCTGGCCCCTAAACCGTAACGCGTGCTGAGATGACGTCACGCGACAAGCACACGTGCCTGGGACCTGCGGAATGTGGACCTAAGCAAAGGTCTGGCGCTGCCTCTCCAGCGCTCATTCGACGCCATTCCAGGCGGAAGAAGAGGGTCTCTCGCTAGGACTGGCCTAGGGATATCTCTGTCATTGTCCGTTATATTTCGACCGCGATCATAAAGAGCACAGGACTAGGCGCTCGAGAGCTCGAATCACTGTGTCTATGCAGAAGGGAAACGAAGTCTGTGGTATGCTAGGCTCCTTTCGGGAGAGCTGAGATTGCGTAGCAGACAAAGAAAAGAAATCCTTCCTCTCCAAATTCAATACGCGGGCTTGGCACCTGCACTATGTCCCGAAAGAGATATCTACTGCCAACAACCCAGATTGCAAAGGATAAAAGATATCCAGAATCGTTCTAGTTCGCCCACCACGAGGAAGGATTCTTACGAGAATCCGTGATTCGAAGCGGGCACGGTGGATTCGCAATAATTGAGACCTCCTGGAAACTTCGCGCCCTGAAAGAAATAGAGTTCGGGCGCTCCGTAAAAAGATCGGTGACTTGAAAGAGGCTTCATCATTGAATATTGAATGCCGGCGCCGTCAAGTTTCGTCTTTTCCAGCCGTTGGCTGGTAAGTACCTACGGAAATAATTTCAATGCACAGATTCCACATCTCTAATGAATGAATAGATACGCAGGAGACAGGCACCTACTGTGTTGTCTGGAACCGGTTAGCGACTCTCGTAATTCTCCACCCTTCCACCCTAATTCTCCCTCGTGGCGGCAACGAGAAAACCACGTTCGTCGTAAATTCGCCCATGGACTTTCGTAGAATCGGCCAGAACACGAGTGGATGGCCGGGAGGAATATCATTGGTAGGTTTAACTGGCAAGCTTTGTCGTGGGAAGGGTCGGCAACCGATGGCATGCAGGTAACCCTTTTTCACTGTTACGGCCATCCATGAGGTATTTTTGCCTCTTTATTAGACTTTCAGATAAACTGCCGCCCGTTCCAATGGTCGCTCAGAGCTCTCACACCCCGTTCTTTCCACCGAACCTCGTTGCTGATAAGACCGCGGCGTCGAAAGCAAGCAGTAAGTCCGTTTTTCCTCTTGTTGGCACCCACTAATCTTTCTTATCTCACAGACCAGGCGACTCATCCCCAAGGCCATGCATACGCCCATCCAAGATCGTCTCGCTCCCATCCAACTGCCTCTCATTCGGTTCATGAACGAGTCTGGAGCGATTCCACATCCCAGTGACGATCCCAAGCGTAAGTTATCGCAAGTTTGTACCAAATGGAGGCGCATCATTGTCGGCGACACCTCCTTATGGGCCAATATTCGTTTAGCGCCCGTGCGGTTCGAACACTCCGAGCATCTCCTTCGCCTTTTCGAGCAGAGCGCCGAGCGTAGCCGAGGGCAGCCGCTCTTGATCCAGATGTACAACGACCTCCGACGTTCTCGCCCAGCGCACGTCAGGAAGGTGGAAGACTTGTTGTACGGCGGCGGGAAGTTCAGCATCGTTCATTCCATCCTCGCTCCGCTTCCGGTCAGCAGCCGCCTCACCTCTCTCAAGTGCCTCTTCGCCAAGGACGACGTGTGGATGTTCCTCCGCCTCCCATCGACCACGTTCCCTGTTCTGAAGAGCGTCGACATCACTTTCATCCATTCTCTCGACAATCATCGGACGCCTTTCACGAAGGACCATCGTAACCGCCTCAATTTCACGGTTTTCAAAGACCATCCGACACTCCAGGAGGCGGCGTTCCACATCGAGAACTGCATCCATCCGCTCGACCTTCAGCTGCCATGGGGTCAGCTCACGAAGCTTGACCTGGCCAGCGCACCGATGCCGACGTGGACGCTCCTCACCATCATGAGTCAAGCAGCGCCGTCGCTCGTTGACGGCGCCTTCCACGTCAAATTGCTTGCTGCTTCCGACTGCGAGCTCCTAGGAGTGACGATGCCTGTGTTGAAGAGGCTTCGGCTCGTTGTCATCGACCCCACCCTGGAGCCGACCTTCTTCGCGCTCCTGAAGATGCCGATCTTGGGTAACTTGAAGCTGGAGAGGTTCGATAGGCGGGTAGGGTGGCAACTGTGGTTGCTCATTCCGGTGCTCGTGCATTCCTCGTCCTCGCTCCGTCTGCTGGAACTCAAGAACTTCGTCTTGAGGCGGGAACCTGGCGACCCGGTGCCGACGGTTAGAAGGTCTTCTTACACGGAACTCGAGGCGATCTTGGAGGTCGTTCCGCGCCTCGAGGAGCTCAGGTTGGCGCCGGATATCGTGATGCACTTGCCTACTCTGGAGAAAGTGGCGAGTGGTGGCCTGGTGCCGCAGTTGAGGGTGCTTGAGCTGTTCAGCACCTCGAGCGAGCAGGTGGTGTCAATGGTTCAACAGAGAGCCTTCGGTATAGGGACTTCTACCTGTACCGGTGCTACGCTCTGCCGCGTTAATTTGATGGTGAAAATGGAGGAGGTGAACGAAGTGATGCAGAAGGTATTGAGCACTGGTCTTTCTGGTCTCATCTACGTCTGTGGCATTGCCCCTCTTCCCCTTCTAGGCCATTGAGGCGTTTGTGATGTTCTTATAGCATTTTGGTGACCATCATCATCGTATTAGCCCTATTCACCTCTTGGAAGCTAGACATCTTGTACTATACTGATCTCCTGAGCCCGATGCAGTACTCGTGTATATCCTCCTTTCCACGCAACGATGGGAATAAACTTCGCAATCAAACCACATGGTCTTTGACAATGTGTTCGCGGAACGGACGATATGATGGATGCCTATCGTCTGACCTGACAAGGGTCAACGTCAGGCCAATGGAATCTAACTATCGACTCGGAGATGAACCAAGAGTAAGGTTAATCCCAGATTCACTCGCCCGTTGTAATGTCACTTAATATGAAATACGTGATATCGTACAATCCCTTGACACGGGGATAGTGTGCATGAACGTTAACCCAAAACACCGAACGCTATAGAACCGCGAACATAAGTCTCATAGTTGCTCGAGGAGAGCGCCGACAACTTTCTAACGCAAAGCCTCGACGTAAGAAAAGGTGGTGAAGGCGGCATCGTTCTCATAAGACTAATGAGTGGACTAGACGGCTATGAGGTGTGATAAGCACTCTGTTAGAATAATAATTTACAAACGGTAAGACCTTCGTTGCTCATTCCACAGTGATGATGCAGAGCGACAACACCGCCCATGCACAAGCACGACGATGAAAGCGAGGACATTCATCACTGAAGGCAATTGCAAATACCTACGATCGTACAAATGTGAGTTTGTATCCATTTTGCAGATATAGGACTCTGACTTACCCTTGGTCGCGATCCTCGCCCACCATTTCCATCTCTCGCGCCAGACCACCTGGAAGCCCGCCTCATGCCCCGCTCTATTCCATCTCCGAATCTCTCAAATATCCTCCCATTGTTGTACGTCGGCCCGACCTTCCTCCGTGTGGTTTCGGCGCTGAGAACAGGAGGTAAGCACTCTATCCTGACCATCGAGCTTCGGAGGCTCACATACGCGCTTTCCTCTAGGTATCAGGCGGGATAGCGTGTGCTACAGCAGACAAAAAATAAGTTCATCATGGATTCGAGGACGCGAGGAGAATTTACCTGGTACAAGCAGAGCGGTACTTGTACATGACGACGAGGCGCCTGCACACGAAGGGCAAAGAGCGGCGGCGGCGAGGAGAGGGCCAGACGAATCAACGGCCGCGAGAGACAAGGGTCCAGTATTGAGGCCGTTTATTTGCGGCCATTTCGACCTCCGCTTGAATGCCGCCCACAATCCACGCAGGTCCACCCATACCCGCCCATGTCTCGTCGATGGACTCGTGCGCCAAGTCGAATTCATCAGTGCAGGCGTCCTCCGCGTCCCGTAGGTGCCTGCCTGTCTGGCTCGGTATGAAGCTTTGAAGGCCGGTGCTGACGTTCGTAGACGCGAACGATGATAAACCCCCTTCCTCGACGTTGGAAGAAGTGCACCCTTACCTCTCTTCGTCCTACAACACAGCTTTGCTGCCGTACGCCCGCCATTAAATCTTAGGTTGAACCCTGCTCCGACGGTGCTACAGGCCTTGGGTACGGGACGTGCTCCCCTTGCTCGCCATGTACTTTTAGACAGACACTCTCTTGACGCGCAGACACGTTCTCGGAGTCTAACAACGAACGTAAGTCTTCATCGTTGCTATTGGAGATAAGTACCGCTTACCCACATCCTACAGCACGATGAACCTTCGTATTCCTTCTCCGGCCTCGCTGCCTCGACCAAACCCGCCTTCATTGCCGCCATCGCCCGCAATCTCCAGGGTGACCGCCAATGCACGAACTCTACAAATATTAGAAGAGAGGGCCAGGAGTTGTCGCAGTCGATGATTCAGAGGATGAGGAAAAAGGGTTCGTACGTACTACGCTAGCTCTCCTGGCCATCCGCGTTTATCGTTGCTGCGCAGTTATTTGCTGCGCAGTTATTTGCGAGTGCACAACAGTGACACGAAACGCAGGCACGTGAGCGTGACATCCGTGTTGCATTGGTTCTGAGCCTCGTCTGTTTTGACCATCCTCCATCGCGACTCGTACAACGGAAGGCTGTTTAAAAATGCGAGCATCTCAAAAGGCAGGCATCTCAATCCCGTATCTTCTCATCTATCTACCATCGTATAGAGGATATGCACTGCAGCGTGTGCAAATTCGGGGTTGCATTGAAGATATCAATGTCTCCGGGACAGAAATGTACAAGCCCAAGTTCAAGTCCTGGCATTGCTTGTCCTGCGTGCATCCTCACTCGACACCAAAATCGCCCAAACTCGAAAAGTCTTTAGCTCAAACGTTGTGATGTCAAGCTCAGGCGAAATCTGCACCATGACCAGCTCCGACTCGTCCGAAGTCTCCCGATAGAAGCGGTATCGCGCGTCTTCGTCCATTGCTTTCCTGGAGAATCCCCGCCAGTCTCTCTTCCAGAAGGCGCCGCAAACACCACACGAGAAGAACGCCCACAGCGCGAGGCCCTGGTGGGTCTTGTCCCGGCGGCTGTCTGCGAACGCTGGCGCCAAATCGCGTTCTTGATGCCGCACCTCTGGACCATCGCGCGCGCGTCAAGATATCTGGGCACTCCCTTGATCTAAACACCAAGTTGACATCCGGATGGCTAAGGCGCTCAGGCCGCCTTCCCATCTGGCTGGATATCTATGAGGATAGACTACAATCAACCATAGCTATGTTCAGAAGCCCTCCTCCTCTTCCTGCACTTGCCACAGCTAACGTGCTGCACAATAGGGAACATTACCACGAGCAATACCACCTCCAACACCCTCACTTCCCCACATACCACCCTTTCCTGCCTCCAAACACTCGTCCTCGCGATCGGACGTGATGCATTGATGGACCATTGGCACTGCTTACATGCCTCCTCTCCCCGGCGCTTCATACACTCCAAACGCATGCCCGGTGTCCTGGGTGTCGTCTCTGCTCTCCTCACCCGCTCGAAATGCACGCCCCAGCAACTCGTCATCGACTCGACCGAAGCGACCCTCTTCGCACTGATCGAGATGCCGGAGGCCACACCCTCTCTAATTAATCGACCTGACCGTGTCGCGTACCGAGATGCATGACTTCCTCTTCGAACTCCTGGTTGATACCTCGTGCTGGAGGGAGAACGCCCCTCCAGGCGAGCTGTTTCTGCCATTTTTACGCGTTCTCCGCCTTAGCGGTAGCACTTCGTGTGGCCGTCCCTTCCTCCCTTATTCGACAGGAACACGGGAGCCAACAGGCATGATGGCGATGCCCCTGAAGAGGAAGAGGCCGTGGGCCAGAGTTCAGAGGAGATCAACGGAGATGTCAAGAAGCGCCTTCGAGAGCTCGAAGCGGAGGGGAAGGATATTTATATAGTGAACAATATTGACGATAGTCTACTTTGGTCATCAATTCTTCCGACTATCTTATGGTCCCTTGCGTCCTGTGATTTATCCTACCATCTACATGAAACTACCGTTGGAATTGAACTAGTTGTTCACGCAGTCTGATCCCTGCCCCAGCTGATCAAATCATTACGCACCGCGAACACCTTGATCTTCCGACTTTAACGCCGTTAATTTTTTAAATAATCCACCCATTACTTCCAGACCTATAACTAATACACATATACAATAAGTAAATTATCAAATCCCTCTCCGAAAAAAATATATATCCAAATCACTCTTCGTGATGGCCTCGCTGGAGAGCTCAGTATCTCCTTATTCTGTCCCGTGTTGTTGCCTCGAGCGTCGAGATGTGTCCGTCATGAATTGTGCTTCTCACTGTCATCAAGTCATTCTTTGTCGTATCATCCGAAAGAGAAACTTCAACGCCGTGGTTGAAGTGTTAAACAGACAAGGCTGAATTAAACATAACTGCAAATAAATATTCCCGAGCGCTTCTCACCTTCGGCCTCATGCCTAACAGAAGTCATCGCCCTCCTCATACTCTACGCAATTCCCGGGCCCATTTACTTCTAGCTCATTCGAGAGCTGAACTACCAGATTTCGAACGTTATAATGCATGCGCGTGGTAAATGTCGACGATGGTGAAAGGCTGACGGGTCGTTGGAAGGAGCGCCTCGGGGTCGGGGGTAGTAGAGTATAGAATGGAAGGCTCGGAATGGGTTCTTGTCGAGAGAGGGGTTCAGGAAGGTGGACAGAAGGCTACCTCGTCGTATGGGCGCTTGATCTAAAACTTTGACGTATATGTAACGTTTGTGAGCTAAACGTATCGGGTAATAATAAATACTAGTCTACTTGAATCGACGATCTAACATCCCCCGACGCAGAAGACGCAGACGCGTACCGCGTAGGAGCAGGAGCAGGAGCAACAGCACTCGTGCTCGGAGAGCGGCCGACGGGTAGTTCGGAGACTCGGATCCAGGTGGCTGAATCTCATCGTCCTCAATCTCCTCCATTCTGCACAGACTATCATCGAACTTGCAAGCTTCCCAGACGAGCCAGAGCGCACAAAGTTCGAACCCTGGTTTCACTCTGCTCCTGCGCCGCGCCGATCGGCCCGTGAAACGCAACGATCCCACTCTTGGCTTCGACTTTGCGCTTCTGTTCCCTGTCAGTCATCGGCTCTGACACGCTGACACGAACAACAACGCCTCGCTGGCGTCTGGCTTCTCACTCTCATCCTTCCTCTTCCTCTTTGATTTGATTTAGCTATTCGAACAGGCCACATCATCATCGCTCGACGGATAAGTGGCTACAGCGCTCGCTGTCAGTGTCAGACACTGCACTGCCCCAAAACACTATCAAGCGCAGCAGTCTGACGTCTAATCCTGGCTCGACGGGCGTGCTGAGAGCGGTCGGTGCTCTTCAACGCCAACAACAACGCAGGGCACGATAGTTCAGCCCGGGAGCGATGGACTTTGATAGGAGTGGGACGCTAGGAGCAGCATTCCTGGGTGGGATCGCAGCGTCCATGTACGTCCCTCCTCTCCTTCGTCATACGAGCGATCTAACCGTCTGCGGTTCTAATATATGGCGCTGGTAGACTGTACGGCGTAACGAGCGTACAGACGCTCATCTACTTCCAGGGTACACACAAAGACGGGCGGGCGTTCAAAAGTCTCGTGCGTCCCCTCCCCTCCCCTCCTCCTCGCCCTCGCCCACGCTCATACCACCCCCCACAGATATTCTTCCTCTGGTCCGCTCCTCCTCTCTCCCCCCTCACTCCTCCACTCATGTACATGGTGCGCACGGCTCCAGGATCCTCGACACCCTCCACTTCACCTTCACCGTGCACGGGCTCTACTTCTACTTCGTTTCCCACTTCGGTGACTTCGTGGTGCTGAGGGAGCCCCCCTGGTCGCTCGTCGTACGTCCTTCTTTCTTGTCAGATCTATTAGCCCTTTCCCTGCTCCCATACTACGTTTCTAATATGACTAACACGGTGTCCGTACAGGCTGGCGTGTACCTCACGGTGCGTGGCCCACCCTGTCCTCCGGTTTCTAGGGCCCTTACCCTTCCTTTCCTTCTTCGACGATTCTTTGCCGCGACGCTGCGTCAACGTAGACAATTAGCGATATGATCGTCCGCTGGTATGTCCTGCTCTGTTGCTCCTTCCCTTGCTCGCTTCTTTCCCTCCCTCTCCCCTCCCTCTCCCCTTCCCTTCCCTCCCTCTCGCTTCCCTACCCCTCCCTCGCCCCATCTCGCCTCCCTGCTCTTCCCTGCTCTTCCCGCTCGCCTTTTCCCTTCCAAGTCCCCAATCCCAAAAATACCCCAGCTAACTCCCACCAGCATCTTCGCCCACCGGGTATCCATACGTACGTCCTCCTCCCGGAAGGCTAATAGTGAGCAATCATCATCACCATGATTACATACTCTAGTGTGCGGGAGGTCCCGGCGCGTCCTGAGGGTCCTTCTGCCCATCGTCATCGTACGTTTCCTGCTTACTTTCGATACGTTGAAGAAGGCTTGTCAATGTCGTGCTCATTGGATTCCTTTGATTCCTTCTATTCCTTACCTATACATATGACTCGCAACCTCGACGCTGCATGGACATGGATAGTCTGCCTTGGCGTTCGTCGTGTTCGGTACGTCATCGCATCTTTCTCGCTGTCCTTCTCCCTTCTCCTCCCTTCTCCTCTCCTCTCCTCTCTTCTCCTCGAAGACTGACATAAGCACCGTCTATCCAGTTAACGGCATGGGTACGTCCTTTTCCCTTCCCCCGCTCTGCCTTCACTACAGTCATCCTTCATGCGAACTACGCAGGCTTCGCCACCGGGACGTACGTCCTTTTTCTAATCAGAATTCGAGGGAGGAGCGGAGAGAGCTGACGTTCGTGCGTTGCGTTTGCGTTTGGTGCATATGCTAGGTACATACTGGGCACGTTCGAGCGGATGAACAAGATCGCCGTACGTCGTCGACTCATGCTCTTTTGCTTCCCTTCTTCGTTCTTACCTTCTTACCTTCCGTTCTCTTTGTAACGCGTCTCCGTCTCCTCATTCGCCTTCTCCTCTCTCCACATCCTCCCTCCACATCCTCCTGCCTGCCTCCGTTCGCCTCCTTTTTAAAACTCATCACCACCGGTCCAACAGCCCATGCTCTACCTCAGCCTCTCCTCCGCCGTCGCCGCCGACTCGACCGTCGCCATCTCGCTCTGCGTCCTCCTCTTCGCCAGTCGGACGGGGATCAAGCGGTACGCACCTTTCCCTTCCCTTCCCTTTAAGGCTCCGAACGAGCTCCTCGGATGGCTGATGAGGAGATCGACAACAGGACGGACTCGCTCTTGACACTCCTCATCGCGTTTAGCATCAACACCGGTGCGCTCTCCACGTCTTTTCCTTCCTCGTTGTTCCACAGCGCTGATACTTTACGCGCGGTACAGGTTTACTGACAAGGTACGTCCCCTACCTGCCCTCGTCCTTCCAGAGCTTAAATGGGGATATTGCAAGTCTATGTGCGCTCGCAACTCTAATCACGGTACACTCCTCTTCTTTCTCGACCCGGCAATTTTTTCGTTATTTACATACCTTTGCCTGCCCGACGGTCGATTAGTACGCGATCTGGCCCCATCGGTTCATATTCATGGGTTTGTACTTCACGTTGAGCAAACGTACGTCCTTCCTTTCCTCCATCCCTCCTCCCTTCTCCTCCCTTTAACTAACCCCCCCATCCCAGTATACGTAAACTCCCTCCTCGCGTCTCTCAACGCCCGCCTTTCCCTCTGGTCGCACGCCCAAGCCCAAGACCGGCGCCGGGCATCAGCGGAGACGGAGCGCTTCGAGGACGTAGGCACCCGCGTGACGTTCGTCGTTGGACCTGGTGTTACAGGCAAGGGGACGGGGACGAGTGAGACTGGGATGGGGGTGGAGATGAAGCCCGAGCTGGAGGTACAGGTTGCAAAGCTGGAACGAGAACGAGATGATGAACTAGAACGAGGGGTGAAGGAAGAGAGGAGGCGGGGCGATTCGGAGAGGCGGGGTACGGGCGATGAGAGGGAGGATGGTGGGTGATTGGTTGGTTGGTTGTTGGTTGATTTATGGCGGCTCGAGATCGTGTGTCTTTGGTTCATTTTTGTTTCGGAGGAGGATTTGCAGATTTACTGATTTACTTATTGTATGTTTGTTTGTATTAGTTATGGGTCTGGTAGCTACTAATGGGTGGATTAGAAATTCGACGACGTCGAAGTTGGAAGATGAACTTCAGTGTTCAAGTTCGTGGTGCGAAATGACGATTCGGATCTGCACCCTACCCATCTTCGTACGTGCTGGAGTTCCTGGATTTTGTAGAGTCCCTGGACGGTACCTTCGCCGTCCACAGACTCGACCCTATCTAACATTCGAGAATAAACGCAAGTGGGACGTCTGTGTTTGCTTGATGGAAGATACATCAACTGACGAATCTGGAAACACCCCGCGAAATTTACCAGACATCAACCTAGGGGGAGCGGAACACGATCATGAACCGCTGCGAGCCTGCGCCAAGTTCTCTTTGCCTTTATGTAAGTAGAAGCTTGCCCGAGTGCCTCCAGCTCACATCCACGGCGCTGATTTCGAGGACAGAGTACTTACTCTAACGCAAGTGCCTAATACTTCTGAGTGGGACGAGGACTAAGTACACACATTGGCCTCCTCGTATTGCGGCAAGTAATATACTGACCACCTCGAAAAGTCCGAGAAGGGAGTAGGGGCCGGGGATGGGGATGGGGATGGGGCTGGGCGATGGGACGAAGCCCGAGCTAGAGGAAAGGCGTGGAAAAGGAAAAGCTCGAGATCCAGATCGAGGATGTGGAGCGTATAAGGGTAGGGCGGAGTACGGGCGACTCGAGGGAGGATGGTGGGTGACCGGTGATTATTAGACGATTTATCGGCGGCTCGAGATTGCTTGTTTCAGTATTGTTTCTTGGAAGGATGTATTGAAGACCAAGCTAACTGGTGTGACCTGTAGAGAATGTGAGTTGGCTTGGGTCACGCCGGTCCGTCCACCCGCAGCCCCTAACTTGAAGAATTGATGACGCCACGACGCGCGTCGAATATTCTACCCTTTATAGATGGACCCGTATCAATAAAATTTGAGCAAAAACATGTGTAGATAACTACCGACCGGTCTTTGGGGTCACACTGCGAAATATCCATGCACGAACGGAAAGTAGGAAATCAAATGTGAATCGTCCATCTATAAAGAAGCCTATGGTCCTTGAATCGATACACGACGACACTATTTGAGATTACGAAAGGATGGAGTGCAGTACTAGCACCATCTGATACGATACCGCTCCCTCTAGGCAGGGCTGCAGCAAGAGAGAAGGGTGCCGAGGTCCGAGTAGCAGTCTCCTCGGTACGTAGTTCCAAACGGGCAACCCTGCCTATGGCATGTCCCGGAACTGCAGCAGCAGCTGCCGCTACCACCTGTCGGGGATGGATCGCTGGTAGTGGCCTGAATTGGTAGAGTCCATAAGAAATAGAGCGAGAAGACTCGTATCGCGAAGCTCACCCTACTGCCCAGCCGTTTCGCGAGAGGTACAGTTGGGTTGGCGCACGGCCTCTGACCTCTATTCTGTTCAGACAGAAGTAAATATGGAAGAGTTGTGTTAGTTCATCTTCGGACCGCGGTTGAGCGGGCTTCGACATACGACGACACGGTACCGTTGACAACTACAGCAGCTAGACTGCTCTGCGCGATGGTAAGGAGGACGAAGGCGAAGATGGTGTTGAATTTCATTGTGTGAACGCTGTTCGACGAGATGAGTGCTGATATTTCTTGGTCGAGGTTGAGCGCTTTATATGCGTCGAAGAAACAAAGGATATCAGCTACTATAGGTAATGAGAATGTGGGAGATAATATTCGTTTGGGGGTGCTCGGAGATTTCAGTCAAAGTTCCTTCCCACGTCAGGAGAAGGCTCACGGATTATCAGTTCACATTGACACATGGAAAAGGCACCCGAAGATAAAATAGATCCGTCGTCCCGGAGCCCAACCCAAGCCCAACCTTTCTAGTCTCGACGAGACATTGTGTCTGGCAAGGATCTAATTTTTAACAGGTCGTCGGCGGCCCCTGACCGTAGATTTCTTGTCGCGGACACATGGTCATTCTGAGCCTGATACATTTTCAGAGAGAGTCGTCGACAGAACCTCATGCATATGCGCCGGTCCAGGGCAAAGATTTGACCAACCTTCAGTTCAAGCCATTTTCGAAATCAATATCAATTCCATGGACATCGCGCGAAATGCCCAACCGTTGATGTGTCTGGACTGGTGGTGATAGCCTCTAGTTATCCGCGATGAATAAAGAGACACGCAGATGTATGAGCCTGGAATACGGACAGATAATTCACGCTCACCTTGAAATGGCAAATGACGGAAGAGAAAACTTGGAGAAAACTAGGTTCGGAGCACGCCCCACGTGCTCACCCGCTTGCGGCACCTTCAAAGGTCCTGCGGAGCCCGAAGATATTACTAAAAACGGAGCTGTCTGTGCAGCAAACAAGGACCGGCAGAAGAACGGCGGCTTGGACCGAACCTAGGAGAAAACGAGATTCGGCAGAGAGTGTGACGTGACATGTGTGATCCCTTGCCCGTTTTGGGCAACGGCAAGCGATTCAACTTGCTCCCACCACGGCGATTCGCGCTTATCTGTCTCCTTCCCCCTCTCCTGGGCCCATCCTCTTGTCCATGCGTGCCATGATAACTCCTTTCACCTGTACCGACTCGGAATCGCGTAGGATGTCCTTCTTCGGACAACACTATCGCAACTTAGCCAACAGCCCTCTCCCACCGACCTCTCTCTCATGCCCTGGCGTACAGCGTCGCCGTATGGCAGGTCGACTCTGACTCCAGCCCGTTCCTCTCAAGGTCGGCGCCCGAGAACCTGGCATTGATCCTGAGAAGGTACGTACCCATCCCGCCTGTCGCCTCGCCGCTTGTGCTTACTCGTAAATCACAAGTTGGGCCGAAGACGGTCACCAGCCGACGATAGGAGCAAGAACGGGACTATGAGGGGGATTATGACCGGCAGATAGTCGATCATGCGGAGGTGTTCGTCTTTGGTTCGTTTTCCTCTTCTTTTTACGTCGTCAAGCTGAGGAACCGCCACCAGCACCCCGCCTTCTAGACACCCACCTACAACCGGAGACATCCCTTCGACGTGCGGGTACCATCAGCCTGAAGCTACCCATCCTACTTTATGGTAGCGGGTCCTCGCATCATCCTCAAGAATCGTGGTTGCTCTTGTTTACATCGAGGCATTGAACGAACCTTACCTCGTCTCCCTTTCGAACGAGCATCCCTGGAGGAGAGGAGAGATGGAGTGGGTTTAGTGCTCACACGAGCCACGCGCTGCGTTGGGTCAGGTAGAACGAGCAAGGTTGGATGCTAGTAATAAGTGCTTGTTTGTTTCGTTGGTTTGAGCCACCTCCCATTTTCATTCGGGACTTTGGTCGCTTGTTTGACCTCTTGTTCACTGTCGGTGGCACTGTTTCCTTCCTTTGTACTTCAAGTCTGCTCTGACATCTGTGTTTTTTCTTATCGTGCACAATTGCGGTTGACGAGTTTGTAGACTCGGATCCTCGTCTGCTGTTCCGACCGATTCTGGCCTTCACATTTTGGGTTGTACATATGAACCTCAACGTCGACACGCCATTCTCTATTCACTCTCTCTTCGTCTCCTTTTGGTGTTGAGCGTCCGTTCTATCTTGTCTTCACTTCGTTCAGTAACAGTTCTGTACGCGAATTCGAACTGAATTTTGCCTGTCTAGCCCACCAATTCGCGAACATGATGGAAAAGGCTCTGAAGGGGTTCGAAAAGATCCAGCTTGAGAAGATAACGAAGACGCCTCTGGGAAGTCGATATTGAGGCCAGGGATAAGTGCGGACATGCTTGACGCCTCGAATTTCTCCGCACATGTCGTCCCTTTCCTACGTGTTCTCCCATTCCTATTTCTTTCTTTCATCCCCGCTCTATGCCGTCTATACATTTCCTATCTGCACTACCTAGCGTCATTACTATTTCACCTCATTTGCGCCAACGTTTTCTCTTCATGTCACCTTTATGTATTTGAGACCGTTTACGTGCGTATTTCGTATGGACCTCTCTTCCAAACTACCCTCTCCCTTCTTTGTTTGTACCAACCTATGCTCTGCCCTTCGTACCCTTTTTACTCTCCCTCTTTTCGATTACCTTGTGCTGACAATCCCCCTACAGATGCATTTAGACTCTCGCGTAGCCCACAAGCTTGCAGATGTAGCACAGCACGGACCTCGACGCTATTGACGAAATTCGCAACCTCGGCCTCATCAACTCGCGCGAGCGAAATGTGCTCCTTGGCGTCCTGGATCTGAGCTAGACCATGACCAGCGTTCGCAGTGGAGAGGGAGGACCCGAAGTCGATGAGAAGGGCGATTATTCTACGCTGTTGCCTTCGCGGAACCTGCGTTTGGCGGCTCATGCTCGATGGGACACGTTGAGAGGGTACGCCCCTGTTGGGTATATCGCGTATGTTATTTTTCTTCGTGTGCTGAAGCCATTTCTAACGTGAAAAATCGTGGGATATTAGAATGGACCCTTCGACCGCGGATGAATGCAATGAAGAACCCCAATTAGTGTCCTATTCGCGAACTCCAGCTTTCGAAAATTTCACTGTTTGGCTTCTTTTCACTCCGCTGAGCTTCGAGGCGATTAGTTTCGGTCACTTCACTGACGCAACACACAGGAAGGAGCTCTGTTAGCTGTTTAATTAGGGTTGGCGGAGACATACGGTGTGTGATTTCGAAGGTTCCGGCGACAGGTTCGTTGCAAAGGAGTATGTACGATGACGGGAGAGAAGGAGAGGAAGAGGAGAGGAGGTAGTCGTGTCGGCAAAGGGATGTGTTAGACGAGAGGTGCGTGGCCTTCTCCTGCGTCTTTCACGCCTCATTCATCCGCGTCTCGTTCGGTCGTTCCTTTTTATCGAATATCGCTCGCATTGGAGCCTTTTGCTCATGTTGACTTGGTTAGGCTCCTACATGCCCTGCGCTCGCCGTTTTCTGCGCGCTCGTCTCCCATTTTGAACGCTTTGTATCCCATATTCAACAACGAATCTTCCCCACTTCCGTCTGAAACCAGCACGGACCGGTGTCCTGCCTCATAAGTATCAATATGCGTCCTTTCGGTGGCCTGACTTGTCCCATCATCCAACCTTGCGTATGGCGGATCGATTTGAAGGCTCAATCTTATATTTCACCTGCTGGACTTCACCTGAGAATGAGCTGGTGTGGTTTGGCCCCGCCTCCGTCTCTCTGCTCTTCAGTCTTCCCACCAGCCTCTCCACCATCATCAATGTTTATCTTTCACTTTCGATTCGCGAATAGACCTTTGACGTTTCTGTACCCTTTCCGATAGCCTTTCATACACGGATTCTCTTCGTTCCTAAAGCCATTCTAGAAACGAACGGGTGGATTTGCGCAAATCTCTGGCAGGATAAGATCAGATAAAGAATTCTGTAAGAGAGTTGTCAAAGCACTCTATATCGAGGCAACTTCGGGAAGATCTTCCGGAGTCTGGGACAAACGCTCCATTTGTTACTATTTTTGATAAATTGACATTTCTCTATCTAATCGACTCATCAGCTTGCCTTGAGCTTGAACACGAACGACCACGAAGCAAGGTACGCTATTCTCTTTTCCCGCCGAACAGCCTGAAAGGTAATCAAATCCATCCATTGTGCTAGTTGATCTGCATCATGACCCATTTCTCGTGCACTATCTGCGTTCAAGAAGGGGAATTTGGTGCCGAGAAATCGAACGTCACCTGCGTATCTTGGAAGACCACGAGCGCTCCATGTCCCAATTGCGTCCAGGTAAAGGCAATGGACGAGCTCATTGAGGAAACACGAGCATATCTGCGACATCTCGAAGCCCACCGTGCCGCTGTAAGGCGTGGCGCTAACGCCTTTCACGACCCTTTCACGATGTTCCTCCCGAACGAAATTGCTTCGAAAATCCTCTGTTTCTGCGTGGACGGCAAAGACGGAGTCAAAAGGCGGATACCGCTGGCCCTGTCTGCTGTCTCTAAGAGGTGGCAGGTCATAGCGCACTCGACGCCATTGCTCTGGGCCTCCATTCGCCTTCGACTTGGCATCGGCCTGCCGTGCTCGTATGAAAAAGACATGCTCCAGTATTGGCTCCAACGATCCTCTCAATACCCGCTTTCGATAGACTTCCGAGTCAGCAACACGCGTTATTTCAAAGAACGCGAGAATCAGTATCGCTCCATAGTCGAAATGCTCAACCCACACTGCCATCGATGGGGCAAACTTTCCGTCGCGATGCCTCTCCATCTACTCAGCCTACTTCAAGGCAACTTTATTGTAAAACCCATTCTATCTCACCTCAAGATTCTCGGCGTGAATCTCGAGCATGACAACGACAACCAGATTGGAAGCTTCAACTTAGGGACCTCTCTTCCTGCTCCCCAGGTGCCTCCACCGCCTCAAGCTTCCGCTCCTCGAAGACATTTTCTGATCCATACCAACGCTGATGCTACGACCGAGACTTTCGCTGACGCGGTTGTTGAGACGATATTCGAGGAATGACACAGCCCGAACCGCATGCAGATCAGCGCCCTGTTGAGTTCGACGAGGAATCGGTTGTCGGTGAACGCAACGAGCAGGGTGGGGTGGATATTGGCAACTCGGCGTCAGCGAGGAAGCTCTGGCTGCTCGAACAAGGGTCCGCTTGAGAGGCGGAACGTTGTGGGAGGGCTGTGTGGCGTTAGAGGAGGTGGAACACGAGGACGTCTCTGATGGAGGGAGACGTTCTGCCATGGTAGGATATGGGTGGCTTAAGGGGCATTAAAAGCGCCAAAGACGAGAATTGCCATATCTGGATGGCAACACGGCGCTCGTACAGAGCTGGTTGACATCTATGTACGTCCGTTCGTTTCGGATGGCACGGATATTGACCGGGGTTGGCTAGTGGGTATTTCGTTGACGTCCTTCCATTTGCAATCTAGTTTATAAACGATTAACGGAATTATTCTCCAATTATCGGCTCTATTTCTATCTCTGGACACGGATAATGTCCATTACTGGCGTTTGGTTTATTCACAGTTAGCTTCTGAGTTCGCTGAAGCACGGCGGTACCCCACCACCTGCTTGTCTCTCGCGACTACAATTCCTCATTGGTCATTGCCAGTTGGCCCATAGGGCTTCCATTCTACTGTCACCGTACCGTTATACCCGATTGTTCTCCTTCGCCTGTCTTTGGAGGTCTCGACAACGTAGAATAGTGGGAACTGTCGATATCTTCAACAACACTCGTTGTAGTCGCAACAATTTTAGAAATGAGTACGTGCGGTGGGTGTCCACCAACCTCTACGAAACACTTACATCCCTCCTGCTTCCATCCCTGTTTACGAATAGTAGGGAAGATACAAGGTAAGTGAGCCAAAATATGTGATGTTGTTGGTGCTGGGATCATGCCGGACATCTGGCACCTCCTACGAGTCAGCAGTCTGTGTTGGAATAACGAAATGTCTCCCCATAGAAGGAAAAAAATAGAATATAGGGCTAATAGGCCTCCTCCGCGACTCAACAATGTTTGGTGGAGAAAGGAAAAAAATTGAAGGAACGAGAGAGGGAAGAAAGATGTTGACGAAGTCAAGCAAAGTCACGAAATTCGTGCCAAAATATGTGACCGCCGAGTTACCTGACCCGCCGGATATCCGGTTAGGTATAGTCTATCTCTACAGCAGAAGAGCCATACTTACTCAGTCATCCACTTATATCAATTCGTTGATTTCAAGCACCCCAGAAAGTCGTACAAGATGTCACATCCGTGACAGATGTCTGTTTAGATAAGTTGCACGTGATGTCATCGAAACCCCGAGGCAACGCTGCGGCTCTCAACAGCGATACCCAACTCTCAACCTCCACCTCCAATGGCGCCTAAAAAGCGCAAGCTGTCGGACCTATCTACAGAGCAAACTTCTCGAGTAAAGGGAATTCTCCTTTCCTGCCGCGAGATATGTGATCAACTCGGCATCGATGAGGACGACGAGGACCTGAGGGATTTGAATCGCATCATCGACAAGTTGACAGATGCGAAGGTGTGTTAGATATAGCCCGAATGACGCGAACTACGAAATGACAGTCCTAGCATACGCCATTCTCCGACGTCTCTCTCCTTACTCTCGGTAAAATGGGCGTTACGATTCAACCTATGGAATGGCGCTCGGACGGGGTGACACAGGCAAAGGCATACGGAACTGCAACATTACCCGGAGCCCTGACGATCGAAGATACGAGAAAGAATATCCACGATGTTCTCAAATACGTGTCGCTTGAGGTTTGAGTCCGTTCCTCGTTCCTTACAATCTGCTCATTTTGCCGCAGTCAGAAGCTGGCTGTCGTATTTTGATCAACACCCTCCTGATCCATGTTGCATCCAACCTTGAGACGGATTCGTCTGGTGTTGTGATTGCTCCGGAGTTTCGTGTTGACGACACCCTGCTCGGATGCACGGAAAATTCGTTCGGGGGAGTGGTAGATTATATGCTCGTCTATGGTGACAAGGCCGTGCGAGGTCAGTGTGTGTCACTGCTGCCTGACCCCGTGTCTAACTTTACCTATGTAGATCGAATCATTAAATCGAAAGCTTTCGCTTTCAGCAACCCCGAGATATACAAATTACTCCAGTGCAACATCTACGAAGCAAAGCCCGAAGATCTTTTCTCTCCCATAGCGTGCCTTCCTCAAGCGGCGATGGCCGCTATCATTAAGGCGCAGCGGCTGCAGTACGTTGATTCCTATCTATAATCTAATATGAGTATACTCTTACGAACATGCCCCGCTAGGATGAAAACTTTTCGAGGTTGCGTTACTAGCGGCAAGCGGTGGGTATTTTTCGTCTACAATGCAGAGAACTTCGGACATGGACAAGGCAAAACCGTATATTGGTTGGATGCGATTCCTCTCGGGGACGGATTTTACAACCCAACTGTTAACCTGGAGTTGATTCTTGGCATACTGCGTGACTGGGTAAGTCTGAACTCGTTGACCCCAAGGTCATGTTTGACAAATCGGTGACTTATCATGTTAGGTCGAACATGGCCATGACGATTCCCTACGCTTTTTCGAGTACATAAATTGACCTTTTCTTTCCTGCTCCTCGAAATTTCCTGTGCTTTTCATGGATACCACTCAATAACTTGCAATAAAGGCCGTAGCTGTCAGGTATTGGGCAGCAAGTCGCTGCGAAAGGATGAACAATACGGTTAGGACTAATTCATTCATTTGCGCGAACCTGCCTACTTTTCAGAAACGACGCGACCGACTTTCTGCAATTGGACGCGATGTCGCTAAGTCAGATCTGACTTATGGTACTAAATTATTGGAGACAAGTAACAAAACGTTGCACGAATCTACACGAAAACATTGCAGCAACATGAAAAAAAGGTATGCAGGGGTATCGTGACGAAATGTTGAAAAGGCGTAAATGAGTGGCTAGAATTCGACGACGCAGGCATGCAAAGAATCGTAATCGGTAGCGAGGGACGGGGTATGGATATGTGTGTAGCATGTATCACGACGGCGTCAAGGATTAATGTAGAGGACGGGGGCAGAATAGCAAAGCGAACGAGAAGACATCTGGAAATCCGAGAAGTTGAGTAATGTATTCAGAAATAGAAACGTTATAACGCACCGAAACCACCACTAAAACCTCAGCCGATCCGACGCCAACCTCCCCTCTCCTCCCAAATGCAACGTCCCACCCGCCCTATCACTCCTCTCCAACAAATCATCCCACCTCGCCGCCTTCTCCTGCTCCGTCAGCGCCCTCCTCCCCGCACCATCCGACGACCCAAGCTCGCGGAACGTGAATGCCGCTCGACGGTCCATCTCCATCGCCGACTCGAGGTCGAGCGTCGACGTCCCAGACCGAATAGACGCGTAGCTTGAGATGATGGACGCGGAGGACGAGGAGAGGTGGGCGTTAGAGCGCGAAATGTCGAAAGAACGGCTCATGCCGATGGATCTTGAACGTCGGTGCGGACGGGCGGTGGCATTGCTGATGGTACTGGTGCCGCCGGAGGAGCGGCGATTGCGTTTGATTGAGGAAGAAGGGGATGGGAATGAGCGTGTGGGTTCGGAGACGGGCTGTTCGGTGGTGGTGGGATGAGGTGCCGTTGAGCCAGGTGGGGGTCGCTGGGCACTACGTAGAGGTCGAGGTGGCGGAGGAAGAGAGGTAGGAGATGTTGGAACTGGAACTGGAATAGTGAAGGCGTTCGTTGACGAAGGAGATTGAGGATGTGGGGAGATAGGCGAGCTCTTTGATTTCGCGGAGAGGCTCGCTGACAACCTCTTCGCCGGTCCAGTATCAACCGTGTTCCTAGTTGAAAATAACGGAATCGTAGGTGATTCTGACCGTCCAAGATTCGTCGCATCCTCTTCGTCCCTCCCAAAAGCAGCTGTTCCTGCGGAGGTAGGTACCAGCGGCGAGACAGCCGGAGGTTTCAACGAGGATGACGAACCAGCAACGCCGAGGAAACCTTGCTGAGGTCGTCTCGGGGGCAAAGTGAGACTCGGCAACTCGACGGCGGGTGTGTCGACGATGGCCCAATCATCATCCAACGAAGGGTACGGGGGCATGGGGATTTGGAGTGTAGGGGGAGACGACGCACCCCCGTACTCCTTGCTTATCTCGTCCATCTTGCTAGGAGGGATGATCTTCTGCATAAGCACCGACGATGGTGCTTTGGGCACTGGCGGCGGTACCTCCTCGCCCAAGGATGACGTTGACGAACGTGTTGAGTGTGTACGGTTGAAAAACTTCGAAGAGGCGACGTCGGAAGATGAAACGGGTGATGAAGAACGAGTGGTGGTGCTAGGCCGTGGTTGAACCGGTGCTGGAGCTGAATTGGACTTGCTCTGCGGCGGCGAAGGTCGAGACGAAGATGCAGCGGTGGGCGATTGACGAACAGGGGTAGGTGACGTCGAGCCAGAGGATGGAGCTTTGCGCGGTGGAAGCTTGAGAGAATCGTTTGAAAGGGTGGCTTCGCGTATATGATGAGGAAGAGCGGGCACAGGAGGTGCCTCCGGGTCTTGGTACTTCTCTCTCAACCCACCGACGCTGATACGCCGCATGAGTTTCCAGAGTCGACTCGGACCAGCACCAGCACCGCCAGGACTCGACGCCTCGTTCTTCATCGCGCTTCCACTCTTCTGTTTTGACAACGTTCTGGTCAGAGGCACACCATCCTTTTCCTCCTCTCTATCCACAACGTCCGAGAATTTGTCGATAGAAAGGCGCAAGGACCGGCGATTCTTCATCTTCTCCCTCTTCTGCCGCTCTTGCCCCATCTCGAGGTCCTCTTCGCGACGAACAGGAACTCGCCGTTCTTGCATACTCGCGCGAGGAAGACGACCAGCCAACGAAAGGCCCTGGCGTTCGCGCTCGACGTCCTCGCGGTGCGAACCATGCCCATCGTCACTCATAACGCTGGCAGGAACGACGACGGGGCCAGCAGCATTCCCAGTGCCAGGTCTGCGCCACCGCTCGGAGACTTTGCGGCTCAACGTCCTCCCTAGGCCCTTGCTCTTCTCGCCCTTCTCCGACTGTCGATCCCTCTCCTTCTCCTTGATACTCCCAGCCCCCTTCCGTCCGAATGTGCCAGAATCCCAGTATCCCAGACGTCCGTAGGCATCCCACGAATCTTCGACGCTGCCCACGGCGACGACGCGTCCCGAGGTGCTCCCGAACACAGTGTAATAGGGCCCGGCGGGCTGGTCTTCCATGCCTTCGCGTGGGGGATTCTGGCTCGAGCGTCGTTCACTGGCGTTGGGCTTCGTGTCGTCCTTGTCAACCGTACCACTGTTCGACCCTCGTACCATTTCCTCTACTCGACGTTCATGCTCCTCTAGCCCTGCGATCCGTTCAATACTTTCAAAACCGCGACCACCGCCGAGGACAGCTTCTGGGGCAGGCGTGCCACCGCGACGGGCGAGTTGGAGGTGGGATACGCCGCTATCGCTCGCTTCTGCTTCAGCGTCGTGCTCTGGTGCCAAACGGTCTGACGTTGTTCGGCGTTTGGAGTTGGAGATGTTGGAGTTGAGGTGGGTGTATATCGAGTTAGTACCTGCGTAGCTCCCTTGGAAATTGCTGAGACTAGTCTTCGCCTTGACATGTCCGTTGGAAGAAAATGGCGACGTGTTAGTCGTTACTGGGGCAGTCGACATCGAGCTGAACGCAGCAGGGTGGCTCCTCGACCTCTTCCTCTGGTGTCCCATACCCCTCTCCCAATCTGCCCTTCTTTCCCTCTCGTTCCTCTCCATCGCCCGTTCTCGCTCCAACGCCCTAATCCGCTCCTTCTCCTCCCTCTCCGCCGCCCGCTCAACCGCCCGTTCTCTCTCCCAGCGTTCTTGATCTCTCGCCCGCTCGGCTTCCGCCTCGCGCTCGAGTGCCTCCCGTACCCGTCGCTCTTCTTCCTCGCGGGTGGCTTGACGGGCTTTGTACTGCTCGATGAGCGAGGCGGCGGGTGTGAGTGACTTGGTACGTTCATTTCCGTCCTTCCTGTCCTTCGACAACTTCCGTTGAAGACCTCGCTCCTTCTCCCTCTCCTTCGACCCCTTCCTCTCCAATTTCCCATCCTTCGAACCCTTCCTCTCCAACCTCTCCTCTCTCGACCGCTTCCTCTCAACGGGCGTCGCAGAGCCCGACCCAGGCCCAGATCCATGTATCGTGCTAACGACCGGGCTTCTTACAGGCGAGCTACCCCTCGACCGTCCCGAACCTTCACCCTCACGCGAACGCGAGCTCGATCTCGACATCGACGACGAAGCTACAGGAGGACGTAAGCCTTGCATCTGCAGCATCTCAAAAGATGGTTGGGAGGGTTGAGATGGCGAGTTACGATTGGCGATAGAAAAAGATATAGGCGATAGCGGCGAAGTCGGAGGTAAGAGCACCGTTGGTGCCGGAGGTTGGAGCTGAGCTTGTTGGAGCTGCTGAATTTGCGCTCGAGCAATTTGGGAGAGGGCATTCGCTGATGCAGAACGTTCGGGTGCGTTTGAAGAGGTAGAATGGGTCGAAGAGGGTGGGCCGGCGTTTGCAGAGGGTCGTCGACGAAGTACGTTCCTCGTCTTCTTCTCCTTCTCCTTCTCTCGCGGCGAGGCTGCATCAGCACCATCACTTCCAGTGGGGTAACCAGGGCCCCGAATGACTCCTAATCCCAACGTCGCGATACCTCGGTCTAGCCTCTCGAGGTTCATATCGAACTCGATGCCGGCCGCGATATTCGGCTCTCTCTCCTCCCCCGTCAACCCTCCTCTTCCCCTCCTCCTAGTACCAACGTCCTCCGGCTCGCTCTTCCATCCCTTCGTCTGCCTCCGTCCCGCATCGACCCCCATACCCATACTCGGCGAGATCGGACCAACGCCCGCACCTCCAGGCGAACAGAGCGCAGGCGAGCTCCGTCCATCGCCCACGCCAAACATCCGACCGAGGTCCTTTCTCCGTCTGTACGAGTACCCATAGGCACCCTCCGACTCTGAACCACTCGTAGCACTCATCCATCCAACACCACCACCGCCAGGCGATGAACCGAAGTTCATCGCGGCAGAGGTTGGCGTCCCACCGACACTACCACCACTCGCAGATGAAGGTGGCGCAGGTTTCGCGAGGAGACGTTTCATCATCGCTCGTGCGGAAGGTGAGTCTGGGACATTCGTGGGCGATGAAGACAGTGCAGGGGGCTGTGGGAAGAGGCCTGAAGGCGAAGAGGAAAGGGATAACGAAGAACGTTGCTGATGGTGCGCCTGCGTATGGATTTGAGGGGATGTATGCGGGTGCGGCGAGGAGGATGTATGCGGGCGAGGTTGCGGGTGGTGCAGTGGCGAATGCGAGTGTGGTTGGTGTCCATGCGCAGCGTACGGCGAGTTCAGTTGCGAGTGCGAAGGGTGGGGCGAATGACGACTGGGCGGACGAGACGTATGGGGCGACGTCGACATCATGCTGCCACCCATGGGCGAATGCGGGCCCGGCAGGCTATGGTAATGGCTCCTTACGTGTCCATGTCCATGTCCTGAGCCTGCCGCACCCGCACCATTGCCCGAACCTGCACCTGCACCCCCAACAGCACCCGAAACCCCGCCTGCATGCGCCGCAGAAGTCGAAAGATTCAGAGGAGCAGGTGGCGTCCTCGAATTCGAAGCTGCGAACGACTTGGAACGCATAGGTGTGCTAGATACACCTGGTGGAACGAGCGGCGTGGGTGGTAACGGCGATGCCAATGATGGCTTTCGCCGTTGGCTCGAGGGCGTTGCTGACGTCGTGCTGCTCGTCATACCCTGCGTCATCGTCGGTGCTATTGCTTGAAGCCCAGAAGTCGACGAAGAAGGTAATTTCGGACGAGATTGGGAGCTGAGAGGCGAGGAAACAGTGCGACCCTCTCCTAGGCCGGGAGGGGACGAAAGATGGGGTGGGCGAGCACTCAGCGTGGGGCTGGGCGTCGGCGGAGGGTGTTGGTGCGGTCCTTGGGAAGCAAAGGGAGGGGTGGGAGCAGGGAAAGCGACAGACGCCGCGTTTGGATTCGCCTTCGTGGGAAGGGGGATGGGTTCTGCGTCGATCGCGACTCCCAGCCCCCTCTCGCCGCCAGTCGCAATTGGCGTCGGCGGTCGTTTCCTCGAGCTACTCCTCCTCATCGTCCCACTCGTCCCTCCCTGCCCATGTCCGGAAGAACTCGTACTAGACGCGCGACCGCGCGACTGATTGTCGGAACTATGAATAGACGAAACAGTTCCTGCATCAAGGCCCGACTTCGATTGGTTGTGAAAGCTTCCAATCGAGGTGTTCAGATGTTGGTATCCTGGATGGACGGCGGGTGGATTGGAAGGTGGGGACACGGGTACGGGGACACGAGGCAGGGAGTTGGACGACGATGTCGATACCGATCGTGGTTTGGAGTTCGTAGGTGCGGATTGAGAGGGATTGGACCGGGTTCGTGCTCGTTGGAGGACGTTGGGCATCGAGGAGGTTTGGGGTGGGGAAGAGGAGGTGTGGGGCGTGCCTTGATGTTGGGCACGACGTGAAAAACTGCGTCGTGGCTGCGGGTCGTGAACAGGGGTCGATGTCGGCCCTTCGTAGACCATTAAAATGCTGAAAAACATCATCGGAACGCTTTTCGACGCGAGAACGTGCAGCAGACGCACCTATACCAAAATCCCGGACGTAGTCTAGATCAAAAGGCGCTCTTCCGTTGTCCACCTAGACGAACCTACACGCGGGGACGTCAGCTCCACTTGCACGGCTAGATAAGCATGCAAAAACGACTTGCATGGTGGTGGATCCAGTAAAAGGAGGGCAAGAGCCGAGTGGTGCACGTGTTGAGAAAAGAAAATGGATTTACGAAAGAGCGACAAACGGGGCACCGCAGTGCACGCGCCGAATACGACAAGAAAAGAACGACAGCCCGGCCGTTCAATGTCCCCTTCCTCGTTCTAAACTTTTAGACTTGAGAGTTCCGTCGAACGAGCGGAGATAGTGGGTGTAACGAGCGTGGTTGGCGTCGAGCCTCGGTATATGCGATGACTTGTGTGTAGGAGAAAAGTGAAGAACAGAAAATTCGAGCCGTGAATCGATGACGAGGCGGAGAGAACACGTGACGGTGGGCACCATAGCAACGCCAGGTTGCCGGCGAAATCATTTAATTTTGCTCCTCCTCCACGCCCGTTCCCCTCCGTCTCTTCATCTTATCCAAGATTTGTATCACTCGTCTGACCGGCAAACGATAACGGTGTTCTGGCGCTCATCCTCTCTCTTCTATGTTCTTCGAGGCCTTACGTTTTTTTCCATGCTCACAATTCAAATCATTCTACACCCTACAACGTGCACGAACGCACCCTAAACTGGAGATAACACCGCAAAATCTCCACCAGCGTCTTCGTCTTCGAACTGATGATTCACGATGCTATCGATTTTCGTCCTGGGCAGCCTCGTCCGCCCGCTTTGTCTTCCTGATCCTGATCGATCAGCATGCACCGCTCTTTCTCTGCCCGCTCCCACTCCACCTCCAAAATTACACCGAATAATCCGGGAAAAGCAACTTCCTGTTTCTGGTCTAGCTTCCCTTTCCCTGACCACTTGGCCCTAGCCATTGCCGTACTATAAGCGCCCATCTTTACGGGGCATTCGCGGCGACGACCGCGTCCTTCTCGCGCTCGTCGGCGAGCAACGCCAACTGGGTCCGCCCCAGACCAGACCGGATGGCCACCCGAATCGCCCTTGGAGCGTAGCAACGACGTCAGAATTTATCCCCAGCCGGCGGTAAACGCGTGTACTTATCACACCCCGCACACTCGGGCCGAGTTTGAGCCGCGTAAGTACGTTCTGGAGACTTTTCCTTCAATTCAAGTTCAAATACATCTCGGCGGTTAGGCTCACATTCATTGCTGCTTTCTTCTTTCTGGCCGTTCGAGTGTGTCGGCTTTCTCTTATTTGTGTTTCAACTCTTGAGCTTCGGCGCCTATTTCTGACAGCTGGACAGATGATCTTTCCCGCTGCACACCGCGACTTCCTCGTGTTCTACCCAGGTTCTACCTCAGTCCCCGAGGCTGCTTCGAATGATCTGGAAACGCATGTGCTCACATAAAGCACGCTTCCCGCTGCATTCATCCTTTTTGTTGCCATTCGTGCGATGCATCACAAGTGACACCTCGTTTCTGACTTCTCTCCTCCGCCCGTCTGTCTGCCCCGTGAAACACCCTTCGAGTCTCCGATTTGTTCTGCTCAACGTGATTCACAGTGCGGAACATTATCGTGGGCCACAACCTTCCCTATATTCATCTCCGCGTTGTCTCCACTATGTTTCTCGTTTCCTTCGCGATAGCTATTTGCCTTGGGTTTCATTTCCATCTCGCGTCGTCTCGTGATCGTCTCTTCATCTGCGCGTTCGATTCCGGGCGTACTTTTTCTCGGAAAAACACGGCGAACTGCAGGCTAAATTTTGACGATGGACGACACGAAACCTTCATGCTGGAATTCTAGTGTCTAGACTCGATCCTACTCTACGATGCTTGACTCGACTAATTAACCGATCCTACGCTCCCTTAGTCTTTACTCTACGAAATCAACAAATGTGGCCATATTTCCATCTCATCGTCTCCTCGAGACAATTTCCGAGCATGAAATTGAAATCTCAGGACCTCCAGTCGACGTTCTCCTTACCTCCTCTTCGCTGCTTTCACCAGCTCTAATTACTTGCTGCTGTTTGGCTCTCATCCGAACGCTTCGCAGTTCTCTCTCGAGTCTTCATGTTCCAGCTTTCGAGTTTCGGCGCTTATCTGATTTCTGACAGCCAGGCCAGTTCTCTTTCAGGGATCTACGCCTCGAACTCTATCCCCTCACGTTCTACCTATGTAACACTCCGAGGCCGTTTCCAACTGTCTTGGGGCACAAGTACTTCCATAAAGCGTGCTTTGCGCTGCGTCCATCATCTCTTAGGGCTTTTCGTACCACGTCTCCTGGCTCATACTAGCCCTTTTCTGAGTTCTTTCACTCGTTCTCTCGCTCGTCCGCTCCGCGAAATACCCACCGTGTCTCTGGTTTATTTTACTCTTCGTGTTTCATGATGTGGAAAATCATCATCATCGATGCTGCGGTCTTTCCCATATTCATCTCCGCGGTGTCGCCGCCACGTTTCTCATTTCCTTTGCGATAACTATCGCCTGGGTCTTATTCTCATCTCGCGTCGTCTCGTGGTCCTCTCTTTATCTGCGCCTTCGATTCTTTTCATGCTCTCTCTCAGATAAACTCGGTGAAGCTTTGACGATGGACGGCACGAACATCCCGTGCTGGAATTCTAGTGTCTATACTGGATCCTACTCCACGGCGCCCGACTAGATCAATCAGCCCATCCTATTCGCCCTCCTTCTTTAGTCTACAACATCAGCGAATGTGTCCGTGTTTCCATTTTATCGTCTCTTCGGGGCAATCCCGGAATACATACCCGCTCGAAATCTCAGGACCTCCAGTCGACGTCGTCTGTGCACCTCCTCTTAGCTGCTCTCGCCGACTCGTATTCTTTCTGCTTTCTCACCTTTGGCTCTCGTCCGAACGCTCCGCCGTTTGCTCTTCAGGCTTCAAGCTTCAAGTATCAAATGTTGAGTTTCAACGCCTATTTCCAACAGCCAGACCAATTCTTTCCTAGATTTACATGCCTCGACCTCTACCCCCTCGTGTTCTACCTCGGCTTTCGAGGCTGCTTTCAATTGTCTTGAAATACGACTACTTGCGCGTTTCAAGCGTGTATGGCCTTTCATGCGACGTCTCGTAGCTCATGCTAACTCTTTTCTGAGTTCTCTCGCTCCTATGACCCACGAAATACTCGCCGTCTCGCGACCCTCTCTGTATCTGAGCTTTTGATTCCTTTCATACTTTCTCTCAGAGAAACTTGGCGAACAATATGTGTTAAGCTTCGACTATGTACGACACGAAGACCTTGCGCCGGAATTCTAATATCTAGAGTCAATCCTCCTCTACGGTGCTCTATTACATCGATCAACGAATCCTATTCGCTCTTCCTCTTTACTCCACTCTACGCCGTCAACAAACGTGGCCATATTTCCAAGTTATCCTCTCCTCGAATCAATTCCCTCATACGTACCCGCACGAAATCTCTAGTCAACGTCATCTCCTTACCTTCTCTCCGCTGTTTTCACCGAGTTGCAGTTCTGGCTCTCGTCCTCCCGCTCCTCCGTCCTCCCTTCATGTTCCAACTTTCGACCTTCGGCGCCCACTACCAACAACGGGACTGATTCTTTCCCCGAGCTTCACGCCTAGCTCTATTCCGTTGCCCGCGCTCGACCTGAATGGTCCCACGGTGCTGGCCGCCTGTTTCCGTGACCGTGACGCACTTTTCCGTCACGCGCGCCACACCCCTCGAGAGCGCCCGTCGAGGGCTATCCGTGTCACGTGGAAAAGTGAAAAACGGACGCAAACTGACTGAGCTGCGCGGGCCGCGAGGAATTGGCCCGAAATTTAAATCCCAGGAAATTCGAATATCTTGCGGGGCGCCCGCCAGCCCGCGCCCGCCCTGCCAGCTGCCCATCCGCACGTGCCTGCCCATCCGCGGGCACTGCTCTTCTCTTTGCCCATCCGTGCACGCTGGGGCGCCCGCGACAGCACCGCCACCTCCGTGCAATGCCCTGCACTGGTACGTGCCTGCCCTCCCCTCCCTGCTCGTCACTCGGTCCGTGCGCATGCCCTGCCCGTTTCCCGCCCGCCGGCCCTTCCTCGGACAATCTCACCCGCTGTGCTGTGCCCGCCTCGCCCCTTGCGCCACCCCTCTGTCCCGTCGAGCTCAGCCCCTCCCTCTGTGCTCGTTCCGTTCCGTCCCGTGCCACTCGCCCCTTTCCGCCCCGCCGTCTGCCCTGCCTGCCTGCCCTTTACGCCCACCAGCCCCACGGCCTTTGGTGCTTTCTGCCCGCCATGCCCCGTGTCTGCTGCCCTCCCCGCCCCTTGTGCAATGCCCTACGTCATCCCTCATCCCTGCTGCACCCCTCCCACACGCATACACCCACTACTCTCGGTCTGCCTGCCCGTCCCTCGAGCTCGTTCCGTTCCGTCCCGTGCCACTCGCCCCTTTTCGCCCCGCCACCCTGC